CGAAACATGCAAGGTACTCGAGTGGGATGCAGGAATAATAGCCATATACAATTGTGCATTCATTGCACAGTAATGGAAAAGACTAAAAATCATCGTTGGTGCACGTAATTTTGTAGAAACATAATGGTGTGGATCCAGAGGGGTTGGGGCATTAAAAAAGAAAAATATAGATAAATGAAATAACAGTAATACCAATAATTCAAAGAATTCATATCCTTTAAGGGTTATTATTATGTGTACATCAATTGCAGTGTCGTGCATTACCTAGGTGTCCGCCTGTTTGCAACAATCAAACATAAGTAAATTCTTAGTGGCCTGAACCCCCCCGAAAAAGTCATGGATCCGCCCCTGCTTGATAGAAGTTGAAGCGTCCCGTTGAAAAGACTAAAAGACCCCGTGCTGTGCGACAAATATCACTCTTACGTCGTAATAACCAATCGAGTGTATGCCTCTCGTACCGGGTACTTGATTGAGCAGATGTGAAAACCTGAGGGGAAAATACACCGAATATTTACTTATTGTATCTTAAGGCGTGTATGTATCTTCAAATATCATGCATTGATGGACCGTACCTCGATGGGCAAGAAACTAGCTCGTCACCCAGTAGCAGGTTGATGGAGTTAACAGCGTAATATGAATACATTATCGTCAACCATTCACCCAGTATTGCAATAAGCATAGGTCAATTGAATATGTAATCAAAACGTTATATCTTTGTTACTCTGTGGTGCCGTCCAACATTCAGAGACAGAAGGATAACATTTTATTTGGAATAATGTGACTTCAACTCAGCAATGCAACATCAAGTGTAATTTTATGTTGGGTTCCATCGTAGAATCAGTCATATATCAAGACTAAATGCTTTTCTTATTTGAGTTTAAGCAGCCATTTATTTTAGTATAAAAATTTGCTGCTTGTATTGTTCATGTAACAGTCTGCCACTTGGTATCATGGCAGTGTTACCACTTATGTTGGCCGTAGGTCCGGTCTATGCACCTAGGCATGATACTCATGCCAACCAGTACCGAAAGTCTCACATGGATCATTAAAGTTGAAGTCGAAACTGAAGAAGGTGTTTTTAGGGTATACAGATTATTCCAAGGCCCTAGCTATAGGTACAACTCGTCTGACTTCTGTTACTCAGATTTCTAAGCTTATTTTTATTTCCTAATTTTCCCCGAGTGTTCAGGACGTGGATCCCGTCACTTTCTTAATAGCACCCACTTGATGTCCCTATTGCGCAATGAAAGGCCAACAAAATGCCACTTACGTCTTAGCATCACGTCTCAGCAACATGGAGACTCACATCAGTGAGAGATAGAAAACAGATTATGCATTTAGGCTATGCACTTAGGTAGCGACAAGACTCGACCTTCGGAGCCTTCTGAAATGGGTTTTCCTATTACAACGCCCGGTTCGGAAATAAATGACGTAAATCATACGTTACAACATGATACACACTAATTTACTTTCAGCACTGATCAAAAATTAATTACTTCTACAGAACATCTGTTGAAAAACAAAAGCCAAACTCTCGCATTATCAGGTCAAATCTGGGATATATACCCTGCACTGTCACATATATAAGGCATCAGCTGGTTCTTAGAGTTAATATTTTTATATGGCATTGAATGATATGTCCAAAGTTTTAACTACCTTGGTTTTGGCTTTGGTTTTGATGTAATCTCTGTAACAAAATTTTTTAAGAAATTTTAATTTGATTGGATTATTTTGTTAATTGTTTAGTTTCTGGAAAGCGCCCTGAACATTTTTATGGATTTGGCGCTATATAAGACAATATAATGTTATTGTTATTATTATTATCAGCGAACGAGTTATAATATTATAATTCACATATACCAATACATTACATGTTTGTTACGCATTAAGTCAATGTCAGAATATGAACTCTGGGAAGCCTTGTGTAACGCGGTAAAATCAGTGTCTTCGTCGTGCGCATTTCAAAGTTTGCACAGCACCTTGAACTTACGCATTCTCGTGTTAAATGCCCCCAGACGCCCAACAGTGGGCAGAGATACAAAGAACAGCTAATTCACGTTTTCTTCATTGTCGTGTGGCTGCGTTTTATCATGTAAGATGCGTAATATCGAGATCGAACAAAAATATTTCAATTATCTATAGCGAGAAACAGACATGCCTCGGAGCCATGGAATGTTAACATAGATCAGGTTTTTTTTCGTCTGATGCTGTCATTAAGATATCGTATGTATATTCTGTCTGAAAGCCATGTTGGCTTGTAATTTGATGGAGAGTACCATCAACGACTGTTCCGTGTCGTTGGTGTTGACCTTTAACGCATTTTAAAAACATTTAAATCTTGACGAGGTCTTAGTGCAATCTTGTTAGCCTTTCTCTTTCTTTTTAATTCAGGCCACTGATATTTATTTCCTTTCGTACAGCCATGAGAAATACAAACAGAAAATGGAGCAGTTGAAAAACAGTGATACCTTAAATTTAATTTAGGATACCTGGAATTTCTTGTCGGTACCGAATTCAGACAGCCTTTTGAATAATCCAGATAGTTGAACACATGCAGGTCTGCAGAAGGCAGTGTGACCGGTCATTGCACATCAGAGAGAAAGATGCTACACCTATTTGGAGCTGTAACGAACCGTACACCACGGTGTCCTATGATAACACCCTACCATTAATTAAACTGTTGATAGTTATCTGGAACGCAATCGTAGCCTTGCCATCTTCATTCTCTGTCTCTCTAGTCACCCTAGTTCTGTCACATCAAATCTGACGCAGGAGGGAGTCCGTGTCAGAAGAGAACGTGCCCCGATTGACTAATGGATCGAGGGGCCTCAATTAGGCATATTGCACTTGTTTTGTCATCCTAAACATAACACAGTTTTTCTTGCTTTTTATTTTAGTTGTTTCTATGTCAAGACATACATAGATAAATTTCAAATGTACAGTAATTCCGAAAAAAAAATGCCTGACAGTAATAATGGGGATTTTTAAGTTGTGTCAGAAATATTTCCGAAAGACGTTTCAAGTAGTAAACGTCCTGACTATTCGTTTGAGTGAATGATGGGCATACGGTTTTCTATTATTTTGCATCGCGATGACTGGGTTATATGTGACTTAACTTCATATGATTATCATATATGTCAAGGTTCCTGAATGGAAATCGTTCTTATTATTCTATTTCCTAAAGACCAGTCGAACATAGTGGTCAAAACTTCGAATACTCATTTCGTTATGTCCAAATTTTCGACTTTTATCCTTTAAAAATCGAGAAAATGTCCTTGTTCCCTTCAGAAACTCTTTCATGAATTTGCACTTAAGTTAATCCTAAGTGTCTTAAATGTGCATTGCATGTGTTGCACGGTATACAGCTTCACTTTATATGAAACTAAACCATGTCATTTTTTATTGCATCTCCATACCGGCGCCTATACATCAACTTATCTTATCGCTCAGCCTTTGGGACTGGACCTTAATTAACCAAGCTGAACACTATAATTAAAAACTCGAGTCTATTAAAAGAGACTGCCATGGTTGTCTCCTGGTTTTAAACCAGCCTGTCAAGCGTCCCTAATTAAATTTACTTGAACCGCCTTCACCAATTTATACTGAATGCCTGTGAATGGGATAACTGTACAACGGACGATTCTTACATTATGCTACCCTTTTGTGCAGGACGACTGAGATGGCAGTTAAATGTTTCGTTACGTCGCCGATGGCTCTATGTGCCTCTGTATATTAAAATTTAATAGGGTAATGATTGACTGCCCGATTAGAACCAATCTTTTCCCGAGTGTGTGGCGTATTTCGAATGTCGCCCCTTTCGTCATTATCATGTTGCGTGTGGCCATCTGACCATGTCAGTACTGACTGACCCACTATTGTTTTCCCTGTGCTGTTATTTTAATTATTATTTATGTCGGCCTGGTACTTCCTCCCAGTTTTACTGTCCAAACCCCATTGTGCCCTGTTGTCCTGAACAGTTAATCCCTTTCCATACGCTATATTGTTTGCATATTTTTGTTCTTTTAAAACACCCAACAATTACACGTTTGCATGTAGGCCATTTAGGTTTTTCTTTATATATTCGTCATATTCTTTTTCTGCATAGACCTATCGATACCCTTCATTCATTATCAACAGCTAGAAAATAGCCCCTGTAATTTTAAACACCCACACCCTTTTTTGTCACTTTGTAGTTTTATAGTAGTGACTAAACCTGCTCTGGGTCATTGTCCTCCAAAGCTATTTTCTGTAATCTTTTCCACATCTCTGTTCGCACTTCAATGCATGAAGCAGCAAAATTCACACCTGCTACGGGCGTCGGTCAATGGAATTTGCCTCACTCCTGAAAACGAATAGTTTCCGCCAGAGGTGTGTCGCTTCTTTCTTATACGGCCCATGTCGTGCATTTATGTGCGGTTCACCTGTTACGGACAGTTTGAGTGTGTTTGCAACCACATGGTAATGATTTGTTTATGCAAACTGTATATTTTAAGGAAAGCGCTTAAGGGCGAATGTAGTGTTATTTCATTTTGTTTTGAGTTTGTGGCATTAAATTATCGACTTCAAGCACAATGAGAAACGGTCTTAGTAGGTAACGGTACGCTTTTAGACGATCATTGGATTGATGTTCTCTCTTAATTGTTCAGTTTACCGCGCTAATATATTCTGTTTCATGATCGGTTACAGATTTTCATTTTAACTGAAAAATTGTGTTCATTTCGCTTATGGTTGTAATGTATCACATCCATTTTCATACATACTTTTCCAATTTTTATTTTTGATCTCATCATTTTTCGTTACTTTTACATTTTACATATTTTAATGTATCAGATTTATTATATGTCTTTGTGCTTTTCTTTTAAATAATAATTGGCATTCAGCCAATTTACTTTGAGTTAACCTGAGTTTTAGCAATATCTCTGTTATTTGACATGAAAAAACTGTACCGATGAAAATTCATGTATAATTTTACAGAACAGAAAAATTGTTCAGAAACTTACCTGTAACAGTACTTCCTAGATTATATTCCAAATGCATGCCAAACAGGGGACCGGGATGTGTGGCTTCATCAGACATTTTAAGATGTACATGTATACTTGCATATTGTGCAACGTAGGTCACTTCACTTGATGATGCCAGTTTGTCCATGTAAGGTATACATAATTAAACACCTAATGCAGAGTTGTTCGTCGTCCCTTGCCCCTGGAACAAATTAGTACAGATGGGAAATAGAATAAGAATCTGACAGTAAGGTATAGTTTACGAATGCAACTCTGAATGAAATGTTGAATTGAATATTTAGATTTCTACTAGTTTATGTGTGCGCCGAAAAGTCAACTAAATAAAGTTCAGGTATTATATACCTCATGTTGGAGACGAGGTTTATTGTGCTTCTATGCGCCAAGCACATCACATCTAATATGGAGCACGTGGTTTGACCACGCATTTACCTTGGATGCAGTAAATACCGGATTAATATGCACATCATGTGTGTCTTGAAACAACGTTTAAATGATTAGACATAATTGTGTCTTATTGTAAACATATCATTATATGCTGCGTGTTTGATAAAGTTCAATTACTTAGAACCCACTTGTAACAGAAAGTTAACGTGGTTGTAAGTTGCCATTAGTATAAACGTGCATTTGAGCAGGGTACCAGCTACTCGGCAAAAAAAATACACCCGAGCTCATGAGCTGATTACTAGTCATTGACTCATCATGTTTTGGAAGACTCATTAAAACTGTGGGCCTTTTTTCCACATATTTCACATTACTATTCCCTTGTGTATAAAACTGGCAACCAGTTAAACTTTAATCCTCGGTGGTATCAGGAGTACAATGCATGAATTATTTTGCCATTTTTATAGGCCTATGGCGAAGCCTGTTTGTCCCAGAATAATTGAAAACACATACACAGTTTCTATATTTTCTATAAACGCAAGCTGATGTAGTTGTTATTTTGGCAGATCGTTCGGGCTCCAACTGTAGTTCATCTAAACCGTCAGTCACGAGGACCTACCGAGGCGGGCTTTCAGATTTGAGGACTTTCTATCTTAATGCACTAATCATCAAGTCATCTCTGTTGCGTCATCGTGTACTGTGCGCGCACTGCATGCATCAAATTTTTTTGTTCTCCGTTGACGATGCAGTGACCTGTCGCGTGCAGCTCGCAGCCCAGCATTCCAGTCACGTTTGCCGATGACTCAATTACCAAGAGATGAAACATGCCACAACATTCCGTGGGGAGGTAAATTCGGAGACAAGGAGGTTACATTTTTGGGAAGGCTGCTTTCTACAGTGACAAATGTGTTGTAGCTTCCCTTCATTTGCCTATATAAAGATAAATGCTTTAAACCACTATATGACGGCACCATGGTAACCATCTTAATATTTTCCTATAGGCTTTAAATACGTTTACGGAGAGCGAGAGTAATTGACCTCTTTCAGCTTTTACAGTCGTGTAGATCTTTATGTAACGCAAGACCAACCTTTTTCTTGACCGGTGTAACCTGTTATGAGAGGTTTATTTTCACTCAGTTATGCTATTTTCATTATCTAAGTTGTCAGTTTTTGTACATTGCGCTGGTAGCCATTTTAGGGAGTCCACCTTGTGAAGAATGTTTTCCTCATTATGCCATGTTTTGGTTTGTTTGGGAAGCATGTGTATCTTTTCTGGTACCTGCTATTAAATTCTTTTCTCTCGTCTTCAGAGTGGATAATATTGTATTTTTAACTGATGATAATGATTTCCAGTAGACGTAAGATTTCCGAATCTGTGCGCAATCAGCATCCTCCAAGGATGTGCGCGGTTTCACATGCATCTCATCACTAACCAGGTGAGATTGTACAAGACGGTCATGGTGACTGAAATATGAGAGAGAACGACCAAACATGACATTCTTAATACTCCAGCAAGTATATATCCCACAGTTGTCCCGACACTGAATTTGTCATTGCCCTTTCAGTATTTGTTGTCTTGATGTGAATGTGTAACTCAAGTAGGGATAGTTTGTCTAAGCATACATGTATGTTGTGCTGGCTTGATAACTTTATGTGCATTAGAGTCAAACCAGAGAAGTTTTATTCAAGAAAAACATAAACACTCATTTTGTGCTTGGTGTAAGTGAACTCATCAGAGTATAGCGCGGTCAGCTCGACACATATTGTATGAAGTGTCCACTGTAGTGCAAACGATGATTTTTCGAACATTTGATTATTTAAAGTCACAGTAATTGATAATTACACTTTCATTTTGAACAATCCATAAAGCATTTAGAGGCCAAGAAAGGGAATATACTAGGGACGATTGCTCAGGGAACCTGACACTGTTTTAAATGTACGTGTTAGGCGTGGAAATCAGGCTAGGTATAATTGCAACATGCTGGTGTTAGATTTTTCTGTGTGACTTTTTATGCTACGCTTGAACCCTGTTATCTGATTTGTGTGAAATGGATAATACCATTGAATTATTCCTCCCAGCGCGCCACACGCCTAAATTTAGCTGCGCCGTAAAACAGACACAAGAAATTTCTGAGTACGTAGGCGACATACGGATTTGTTCGGGGGATTTATTTAGCATTTGTTGATGCGGGATTTATTCGGAATTTTTTCAGGTTTTGTAAAGCAAAATTTAAAAAATAATTGTTTGACATTCGAGCACGGTAAAATGCGATCGAGATAGATAGATAGACAGACAGACAGACAGACAGACAGACAGACAGACAGACAGACAGATAGATAGATATATACACACACAGAGAGAGAAACATGACCTGTGAAGTCTAATATTTGCTACCTGTGTTAATTACAGTTCTGTTCTTCTCTTTAGAAGTATCCATATTAATAATATTATAGTTATTGTTATTATTACCAAGAATTCCTCACAAGCGACCTAGGCACTGTAGCTCGCAAGAGGAGACAGTGAGAAGCAGTTACAGTTTTACGTGGGATTTGGCGGAAATTCCGAAGTCTGTAGAAATCTGATTCCAGAATCGCCAGTGATATAATGAAACGGAAGACATATCCTTCCCAACGATCAAATTAAAACGTCTAGCATAGCGCTTGTTCCCTTGAGATAGAGAATTTGATAGCATTATGCCCGCAGTGTGTCTCCCTGCCGTCTGTCAATGCGATCCAAAATAGCAACCACCCGAACAATACGAAGTCCTCGGTATTGGTATCGCATGGTGAAGAAGCCGGGGGCGTATTGTTGCTCACGGTTTTATTGTCGAATGCCCGGTGAATTCATTGAAGCTCTTCCATTGAATCAAACTGCATAGTGCTGAGCAAATTATATGAATATGTTATAACGTGTTGAATTCGGTTGTATTTCTTTGATCATTTTACTGCGCTCTTTCATCGAAATACATCTTACCATAAATGCTCTTCTGTATAAGTGTCTTTGTTTCTGACTGGCATTTAAACTATAAAATAAGATACCGCTAGCTCTTTCAGAAAAACCAACTGGAAGAACTGTAAGCAACGCATCTTCACAATATGTTGCAAAGCAGTATTTTCATTACTTTGTACAACAACCTAGGTAAAATGTAGGTTATTCAGGTTGTTCCAACAAATTGTTCCAGCACAATAAATGTCCTTTTAAATGGAACAATATATTATTTGGAGCAAAACACAGCCCAAGCCAAACTCTCGTAGGCTTTTTCCCATTTCGATTTTTAAAATTTGATATCTTAAACCTTTTGATTGGTGTCACATTGTTGAAATATCAATAGACTTGTGTACAGAATTACTTCTGCTGGCCATTCTTTCCGAAATTGATTGTTAAAGCGAGAGAGAGAGAGAGAGAGAGAGAGAGAGAGAGAGAGACCTTCCAGGGCCGAAAGAATTGTATGGATTAAATTGGAATTATGGGGGGAAAACGTCGGCTGTTAGAGGTATGAAATGTATCTGGGTTGCGTAGTAACATCACGTATTGCTCTAGTAAAGCAAAGTTTTAGTTGCCCTGGGGCATACTGAGGTACACTCGGCGCTAGCAGTGTGGCAACTTGTAATAAATTGGTATACTTTATACCAACTGTCCCCATTAAACACAGCAATAATGTTATCTTTGTCTGTTGATACCTTTTATTCCATTTTTTTTATTTCTGAAGGGCTTCCATACCTTTGATTGTTTTGTCTGATATACAAGAATTACAACCTGTAACAACTGAGTATTACCTATACATGATATCCTCGTCACTTCAAAATTTCTATACAAGTTTAACTGACGTGCATTATTTGATGTTTCAAACTTCGTTTTCCTTAAAATTTGTGATGCAAATTCCACATAATTCATTCCACAAAATGATATGCAATGCTGAATGCTACATTGAAGTATAAAATAAGCCTGATGCCGTTATTATTACGTTTGGACGGAAGAAGTATCTAAACCAGCCCTAGGAGTCTGTGAAGACTCCACAGGTACCCGTTATCCTTATCCCATCCATATCTTATAAGAAGCCTTATATTATGTACGAGACCCGCCGGTAAGACTCGTCGCGTAGTCATAGTTAATTTGTGCCCTCGTCGGGCTTTTCAATGTTGCTACCCAAAGATGAATGGTTTGATTAGACAAGATGGACGCAGCATGCTATCACTCCCTACGGCAACGTAATGAGTGAAACTTTTTCAGGTCAATTTATGCATTGCTGTAATATACATGTTGGAAACTCCACAGGTTTTCACCCAGGCCTTCGCTTATGCCTCGTCCATGGCTTCGTGGCACTTAAAGCCTGACTGATGTCATACTTTCTACTAACATTTTCTCATAATCGCAAGAGGGTAGAGCTGTATATTTGTGACAGGTAATTACGGAAGTTTATGGGACATGTTTGTAAACTTTCCTGGCGCGTTTTATCCAAACCGGAAAAATAACATTTAGCAGAGTATGAATTGTTGAATATAGTTTTCAACATACGGCCCTTACGTGTTTATCCAATATTTTAGGAGTAAAATCTCCCACTTGCCATTGGTATTAATGAAAAGTTTCAAGGGCAGTTTGTTTATGATTCCAGTGTCCACCATCAACTGATTTAGTTTCTCAATTCGAACTCGATTGTGCATTACAAAGCACAGTATCGTAGCAAGAGTAAAGCATTATATGTGTACCTTGAAATGGTCATATTTTCCCTTTATGGGTTTTCCTTTTTGCAACAGTTGGCTTTATTGGACCATTCTTGATTGCCTAAATTTCTCATAATTCGTCATCAACACCACAAACTACCACTCAGTCGTTTTTATTATAACTGAGTTATTTCCGTTTTAACGAACTGACAGCCAGTACAGCATGACACTTCCAGCGCGCATTCTGTGTATTTTCGTTTTCACGAACTGCAGACCAATCTTAATTCCACTACTTGAAACAAATTTAATTAAAGTTTAGGCAGCAAGTATGTGGATGGATTAAATTCATGTCAAGCCTCTCAAAGCATTTGTTTTCCGCGCTGAATTGCCGTAACAAACGTGGGTGTCAGTTCGTGAGAACAAAAATCAGTCTATTTCGCTTCAGTGTCCGATGTGCGCGCACTACCTGGTGCTGGTTCGTGAAACCAAAATTAACAGCGCAGTGTGTCAGTTCGTGCTGTTGGAGACGGATTATACGACCATTCAAAGAACACTTGATACTTACAATTACTCGACTGTCTTCTCTTTACAAATCATGATTATTTTACCATTAAACTTTGCTGTTAGTATCCTTGACTGATTGCTAGGTTTGAAAACTATTTTAATTTGTTTTGGAGTCCAATTTGATTGAAAATATTATTTTTAATTTGTGTTAGAGTAGTATCATCACTAAATGTTTACATGTTTGTACATACTTACTGCCTGAAGTAAGTCGAAATCAGCCGTATTTGGAATCCACGTTACCGGTTCTACGTATTGATGATGGATCCCATGGGGAGATCAGTATATTTCACCTACACTGCCGTTAAGCGTTTTTGTGTAGAATATTCTCAAGTGTATAATGTACCTTTCACAGAATTCAATAAGGGCGTTTCACAATAGTGCACCTCCAAGATAGAGTCTGCATCTCGTTGGCCAACAACTGTGCGCGAAATCTGTCGACCCAATGCGCATTTGAAAAGGATCGACAGATTTTGCGCCTTGTGGTTGGTCAACGCGTTGCAAACTCTTGGAGGCGCACTATTGTGAATCGCCTGTATTCGAACATGGAAAAAGGATGGTTACAAGCTCATAATGCATAATATTCACACTTTGTATGTGTTACGGATCCGAAAGCTCAATAGTATGTATCCATCGCTGTCTGCGAGGGTACGGCCCGCAGACAGTATGTTAGACCAATAGGTTGGACCTATCGGCCCCTCCGCCCCGAGCTGAAGTGCCCCAATCGGCGAGAGAAAAACAGGTGCTTACAAGTGGGTTCTTGCATGCGTTCTGCGTGTTTGCAAAGACCATAAGTGACGGAATCATATATATTGATTAAAAAGACTTCTTATTCAACCCGGTTTGTGTGATATCACTTCAGTTTAAAGCACGCCCACTGCACACGCACTGCAACGTACAGTTGCATGCATTGATCGCCGATTACATGGAACCCATGGAACCCTGGAATCGGAAGTTAACGCGCAACTTCAGTGATCGTCCAATGGGAGCCTGCAAATCATGGCGTATCTACCTTTGTGACGAAGTCAATACGAATCGGATATCTATGGTCAGAATAAATTAGTTACACGTAGGCCTACTAAGCATGCTCCGCGCGCGTCAAACGCGAATATACTTGCGCGCCTCAGGTTGCACTTCACCAAATACGCGCCCATAGAAAACAGTGCAAAATCGGGCCGAAATAGCGCCGCCTGTTGACTCTCGTGAAGAGGTTGGCCTCCGTTTTTTTTATGGAAATTCAATATTATGGCCAGAAGATCACTTTTCGTTTCAATTTCATGGGAGTTAGCCACGAAAATCTTTTTATTCGCCTTTTAAGGAAGATACCCCCAAAACAGCAGTAAAACTGAGAGCTTATTTCTGAATGTAGCTGCCCACCTCTATCCCAAATAGGCCCATCAAATTGAGGCTTTTTGTGAAAGAAATACCCCGAACTGGAAACTATCAGTCCCAAATTTGGAATTTATAGAAATACTTCTATGATGCTGCCTGATTATGGCATGTGTCATTGTAAAAACCCCGTGGGATCACAAAATGATAATGAGCTCGCGTGCAGAAATACAACCATTTGGTCGAATGCACCCATCATGGCGCGCCTATACGGTGAGTACAAAAAACACGCCCTCTTTTGTTCCGCTCAGAGCGGATACACTTCTTAGCTGTATTTCCAGCACTGTCGAATTATCGATTGCAATTTATAAAGTCTACGACAGGAAAATGCGTTGAAAGAAAAACGCCTCGACCGTTTGGGACAAGCAGCGGGCGGGTATCGATCGCCTCTTGTTCAGTTTGAAGTCAACACATAAGCTCGCCGTGTTTTATAATTTGTCAGCAGTTATTGTAACTCAGACAGTTGGGTAATTAAATTAATTGGAATTATATTGACTCGTATGGCTTTGTCCTTGGTCGACTGTGTTCGGAATACGCTTAGGTAAGAGACTTGCTTTACCCAATGGAAACAAGGATATACATCTTCACAAACCACATTGGTTACGATGAATTCAGCGGATAGACACATCAGCGCAACAAGATCAGGTGGGTGCCAAGGACAGATTCAGTTTGTTCTTTGGCAGCATTGTTCGAGCCTCTCCAGGTATCTTGTGCTTTTGCACATCTATTTTTGTCGTTTCGCATTGTCCTGGCCCATCAATGGCATCCAAACCTGTCTGTACAATCGTACTAAAGCAGTTGTTTATAGAGTTCAATCTAATCACATTGCGTGCATTACTTGTCAGTGTTGCTGTCGTCACTGTAGTCTATTTCAATAACTGTAGTCATTGCTTTGTTGAGGAATTCTACAGGCAATTGTCCACATATTTTGGCAAAGTCTGCTGTAACTTCATATCGTATTCCACTCTGTCATGTAAGTTCCTTAGTTCTCTTTTTCTCATCAGTGGTTGCCCTTTAACGTGATGTACAGTGCGCGGTGAAGGGTAATATTTACAGCGTCTTACTACAGGTGGTCGCATGACCAAACATTGCTGCATTCATTATTTATTCAGCTAGACGTGTCATTTTAAAAATAATGTGGTAGAATCGTACTAAATTGGCCAAAATTATGTCATTTTCATAAAATGTCAAACCTCGTCATCCGTTTCCTCAACCTTTAGTTTGTCATTCAGCGTTTGGTAGAACAAACTCTAAGTGGATGTTCGAGTTCCAAAGATGGGAAAGGAACCATTTCAGAGAGGCAAAACGTGGGATTTTCTTTGGGGGGGGGTAAAAAATCTCAGAATGTTTTTCATGTTACATTTTATAGTATTTCTTGGGTGAGGCTACCCTTTGATGTCCATTGACCCCCCCGCCATGCGCCCTTGCAAAATCCAAGTAAATTAAAGCGTTAAATTTGTGGATAGAAAATCATTATCACAATATGTCTCTACAATGAATCACAGAGCTCAAACTCCGCTGCCTTGTCATTGCATGCTTAAAGGCTCTTCATAAATATTCACGCCGAGATAACATCTGTTCTCGCAAATCAATTTCAATTTGAAACGCTTGTTTGAGCCGATTGATGGAGGCAGCTGGGTCTTTTTTCGTTTTACTGCTGTATTTGCAGATGAGATGTGTGACCTGGAGTGGTAAAGTTGCAAAAGGTTTTTGTCTTATGATGGCCACCCATTATATGTGATAACTTTCTTTGTTGCTTACTGTTGAGTAAACGACGAACCTGACAAGTTTAGTAAAATATTAGGCTGGAATTGTGCAGGAGATCCCAAACTATTGAGCACTAGAAATGCGACAGAAGTTGAAACCATCAAAGGTTACATTTCCGATTTCTGAAAGATATTGACAGACTTGAGAGAGGAAATTAACGTTTATGATGTACTGAAAATCTCGGATATGAAGCTCATCGTTTAAGTTCGGCAAATATTTTCTATTAGTTACGTTGAATCAGTAACTTAAATTTTATATAGCCTTCCCAAAAAAGAAACCGCTCCTTAATTCTTTCTTTTTAATGTGATAATTTTGATATGAAAGGAACTGACACGTGTACTTTTATAGATATTCACAGCTTACACCCAGGTAGAAGAAAACCTCAGGTGTGTCATGTAAAAATTTGATATATGAAATACTGGAAAAGTATTAGTGTTCTTATTGTATGCCGACATTGCGTCAGCAATCTGTGGCTTATAGGCAATGTTATCTCTGTAAACTCTCATGGACATTTTCTTCATTTCGAAGTCTTTCACGAGGGCCGCTATATGCTTATGACTTAGCATTTTTTGTTGTAGCCGACAACATAACATGCCGCGGGCCTGAATCGCAGTTTCTTCCGATGTCGTTAATTAACTTACTGGGCTTTTGATTTTTTTTATGTGACGAGAAATACTAATGTAGCCTCATTGAGGATTGGGGTTTTTGGAGAGGGAGGAGCGCACGAAGAACGGTTGTTTAACACAGTACAAAATATATTCACGTTTGTGAAATTGACGGAAGGTTGCTATTTGCCAAGTTATGGTACCACACACAAACTCCAAGTTCGTCAACAATATGACCTTTGATTTACATAGAGGTAGCCTTGTTTTGACGTAACCAGCCCCGTTTTGATTGTTCCTACTTTTAAAGTCAGACAGACACTGTGGCAGATATAAGTCAAGTCTTACATCATTCTCTGCCGCCTAGAGTATTGTCATTTCAGTTTATTTGAGGCAGAAAATAGTTTCATTTGAGCTGTCTGTCCTCGTCGAATAAATGGTTAACCATTAAGATTCATCTGGATGTGGAGGGTGGCGCTAAAAGTGTGATGCACGGTGGTCGAGTCTCGCGCCATTTAACTCTTGACCGCTTTTCATTATAAACCAAATATTTCTACTTCCTACAAGAAATCTTTTCTTTTCTTATTTTTCTTTAGAGAAGTCGTGCAGTCCAAGGAGCACATGAAGTGGCTTTTTGCTGCATGAGAAGAAAGACGCGAGAGAGCTACAGCCCACTGTCCAAGCCAGAAACAGAAATAAACTCAATCACTTCAAAGACAGATGCTGAAGTTGCGTCCTACTTGCCTTCCCAAGCCTAGAACAAACATTCGTTTACCGTAATTGCACAGGAGTTCTGCTGCGTTCAATTTGTATTCGGTTTCAGGAAACGTTTTCGAGCCTGCAGAAACAGGTTTGAACTGACTGGGATTTTCCAGCTCGCGGCATTGTGGTTAATTTTTAATGGAGGCATGTGTGAGAAGTGTCAACGTGCAGGCCAACCGTGACTAATTAATAGAAAGAAGGCATCAACCGACGTTCTGTGGTACTTGAAGTCGGAGTGACGCCAGCAAAATTTAATACATACGCAATTTGATGTTAGTCGAGATTGAGACAATAATAAATAAAATCTTGGAAGCACAAACTATATGGATTAATTATAATGCAGCCAGCTTCTGTCAAAGCGATTGTGAGGAAATTGGTAACGGATTAGTGTTTTCATCTGCACATGGAAACAAGGAATGATTTGTAACAATAACTGCAAACTAATTGTCTATCTTTCCTTGTGCTTGGTAACGAAGGACTGGCTATCGTGGTTACTGGAGTAATGAAATGGAAACTGTGATCGATCTGCAGGATGTTAGTGTTTGATTGAAGACTGTTTGGAGGAGGGAAGGCGAAAAATATTCATGTTTATCTCCAAGTACGGCGAATATTTTTCCCTGGCATTATCTGCTGATTTGACTGTCCAGTTTACCACCCTACTAACCCTTGAGTTATCACTGTGTACCGAGCATGCACAAACACTAGCTGGGAGATTTTTGCATTCTAAAAACAATCAGCAGTGTTTCAACTAACTGCTGTGAATAACAAATGTAACACACACCGTTGCGGTCAGATACCGCAGTCGATCCGTCTTCCTCTGGAATTGTGACATCACTTCCAACCAGTTCAGACCCAGGCGTGTTGAGTGACCTCATGATTGATTTGGATATACCAAATATGGGGGTCATGATGGGCAACTCGGACAATATGACAAGTTTGATAGCCCTGACACCTAGTGTGAGTGTCATGACCCCCATCACCATGATGGGTTCGGGGTTACTTGGTAACATCATTGCCATCGGAGTGTACCATTGCTCGTGCACCGCTCATCGTAACCTTCCTTTCTATGGCCTCATGAAGGGCTTACTGTGGACCAACGTGGTGGGCTACTTGGCCGTGTACCCACTTATAATCGCAGCCTTCTTCAACGGCTTACACTGGATCGGTGGCATGCACACTTGTAACTTTCAGGGATTGTCTACGCTGAGTTTTGGCATGTCAACCTCACTGCTAGTTGGCTGTATGGGCTTTGAGCGCTTTCTTGCCGTTTGTAAACCTACGTTACACGCTAAACGCGTGGAGAGAAGAAAGATCCCATATCTGATCTTTCTAGTCTGGGTCTTCGCTATTTTCACCGCTTTTATGCCTATAGTAGGGTTTGGTGAGATGGTACAGCATTATCCAGGTACATGGTGTTTTGTAAATTGGCGGCATCAACAAACTGTTGGCAAGCTGTACACCAGCATCCTCGCTGCAGAACTCTCTGGTGTTTTACTTCTTGTTTTTTCCTGTCTGCTTTCTGTGGTATGTTTCTCCCTGTTGAAACTACTACGTATGGTACCGGGAAAATCAGAGGGCGTCGTTGAGATAACTGGTACATCAGTCAGGCGTCTGTCAGTTAGAAGTAGACCCAATGTAGTGGTTCCTGGGAGTGCATCACCGTGGCTTACTTTCCATTATATTCTGTTTGCATCCACGGTACTCGTCTGCATGACTCCAATTGTGGTAAGTGTAAATTGATCATTGCAATGAAATTTTGAATTTCAAGAAATTAATAGTGCTCTAATAGCACGTAAGCATCGAGCGGTCAGAACAACCCAAAGTTGTGATTGGCGATAAGTCTTGTAGAACCAACTCTGTCAATCATTTGAAATTATTGCGAGCCTTAGAAGAATGAATTGATGTTGAAGGTTCCCGTTCATGATATGAGTGAATTTCTGGCTTAATCAACTTGTGTATGTCTTTTATTCGCCTTCGAGAATTATAGTTATTTTCGCTTAAAGTTCATGGGAAATAATTTGTGAAATTTTGATTGATCTGCATGTCATCGACGATGAAACTTTTTTTTAGTTAGTCACTGTTAAAACTTGTCGCGATGGACTTCCTGACTATGGACGCAAAGTGGAGGAGATAAAACGTTTTATTTGGTTTGGTTTTGATCTGTAGAATGTACCTTAGATGAAAGCAATGCAGTACATTTCAAACCCCCCAAAAAACTGTTTTCTTTTGTTTAAGTTGAGAATAATCTTGAACGTTTCCGGCTTTGACGAGGATCATTTCGCCACTTTTCGAGCTATGGGCTTTGCTGAATGCTTCCCTGCCAGTGCTCCATGGATTTACATGCTTCTACATCAGAGGCTTTGGCAACGATTTCTGCCATGCTGCTTCTCAAAACACCTGCCAAACACCAATTGTACTCACTACCAGTATCGTCATCAAGCCTTGGATCATAACCATATTGGCCCTATGGAAGCTGGCCACAATGCTTCTGACGACATGAGCGGCAGTGCAAACAACAATATGCAACCCAACAACGTGGAAGGAACTACTGGATATAAGCCAGTGGCTGAGGATGGATCGACAGTCGACATTCTGACCATTAGGAATGTGGCTCGAAAGAATCAACAGCAATCAAAAAAAGGACATGAGAAGAAATCACATTCATGCAAACCACTGACAGACTTTTCCCCATCTAACACAAGGTAAGTGTGATGTCCATTACGTTAAGTTTTCTTGCGGGTATTTGAATAGGTAGCCTGCTGTTTACAACTGCTTTCCAATCATTTCAAAAATCTGTGGTTATCCAAATTATTATTTCTGTTGAGTTAAGTACTGATTGAAATTTCCATCATTTTGGTCAAAGTGAACTTTTACATATTTAAATTGCTGCATTTACCGACCACGCTATACTGTATGTAGCATTCATGTTGAAAGCCAGAAATATCCACTGTATCCAAAGAGCGCATTGACTAAAACTCGTTATTTTTCGTTAGTTGGACTGTATAGTTATTTAGCTAATTGGGTTATTTCTTACTTTTGCAGGAGTAACAGTAAACTAGGTGTACCAAACCATCCACTCTCTGGTCACATGAAAGAAGACTTGACTGATAAACATAGGAACCATTATTGTTCAGATGGCAGCATAGCGCGGATCGAATACCACGCCCTCATGCGGATGATGGATGAAGATTCACATGAGAATGTGTCAAAAGACGAGCATGCAGAGCTTGCTAAGGCTTGTTCATTCAGTAAAGAATCCACGATCTGACTAGATTGGAATTAAAAGCTGAACACTTTTAAAAGGCTACAGTAATAGTTAGTGGAATTACAAATTATATTGCATATCGGAAGCGCTACATTTAAGCAGCAATGACTATGTGCTGTGTTGCCGAAACCGTCATTACCAACTTACCAAGGTTTGAAATGCGCAGCTGAAATGTACATTTGCAGCAAGATAAATGCTCATTTCAATTTTTTCCTGCTAATTTTTTTGCATTTATTTTCTGAGATCGTTTGCATCTCACTCTTGTAATAGTTCATGTAATTCCATGTGGATTGACAACCAATTCCAATGCTTCATAATAGAAAACTAATTCAACGGACGCTGATTAATGTGCATTAATTTGTAAATATTATAGTAAATCCGTACTGTATTCTAGTACATGCAATCTTTTTTTAAGTGTGGAGGTATGCTTGATAAGCACAATACAGTTTTCAGGTAATACTAATATCTTGATTGCTGACAACAATATAACATCGATGTCGGTGCCCATTTAAGAGCAACCGTTATTTAATTTAAAACAGAAAGTTGTCATCGTAAGAAAATATCACTGGTATGCTAGTTAGTGAGGGAATAGCCAAGAGTTTACGATTTTAACTACTGTTGGCAGATTTTCCCAAAAATTTACATTTTTGCCCTTAGTAGGAGGGGTTCAACTTAATTAGTTTCTGGTTGGATGCAAGTCCTGTGCTTTGCTTGTTTTTTTGTTTTGTTTTGTTGTTTTTTTTGGGGGGGGTTGGCTAGTTTGATCAATATCTGTTCTGACGATGAAGGTTGTGCACTTACCCAGCGAAAGACTACACTGTGAAGCCCTTGGTAAAGTTTGTAGGTCATGGCTAAATTGAAGCCTTTGAACCTTTCTACAAACAGCTTCTTCGTATCTTTTGGAGTACCCTAAAATTTTGTAAATTTTACAAGGATACTTTACGGTCGATTTCGCTATAGCAGAACGGTTTTTGTACTTCAAACGCGAAAATGGAAACTGGGGGATTTTAGCCATGAACGCATTTATCACGTTTTGTGCAACTGCGCAAAAATATCCACTAGACTGCTGTTCGTGATAATTATGAAGACATCGTCAACAGAGTTGAAACTTGACGAATTTTTATGCTTAGCCAATACATGGCGCCCCCACTTTGTTTGAAACCGTGCAATGTAAGGAGTTGAACTTTTAGGACAGCATTTCTCTAACTGCAATGTACTACTAAAGTCATGTAGGTTCCAGACAATATTGACTGTTGCCAAATTAAATTGGACTTAACTGGCGTTATATTTAGAAGTGAAATTATATTTAATTTGGTTGTAGGCCTACGCTGCAAAACTATTCTCAACATACTTGACGAGGGGCTTCCTTACTATTTTGTAACTATTTTGTAGAATGAGATCTCTCGTTCTGGTGAAGGAGAACAACAAGTATAGGGGGGTTAGAAAGAAAGACGTTTGTGGGATTTGAGAACATCCTATGAAAGGGACTTGTATTAGTCTGTAGATTGTGGTCAGTGAGTCAGCATTATTAAGGTCCGTGAGTGACGTGTTTGCAGTGTGCTTCCTCCTTCGCTGGCCTGACTGCGAGTCGAAACTCACCTATCGTACAGAAAAAGCACACACCTACCTCGTTGAACAGCTCAAGTTTGAGACTTTTTTGCGGTTAAACCTAACATTTTTTCTTGTCCGAGGACAAATTTCCTTCACTCGCTAACTAAAACGTTTTATGCATTGTAGGTTTCCACACCTACCGTATGCGTATTTTGTATGACTTTTCTAATTTGTATTAAAGTTTCCTTTTTTGCACAAATTAATACTGGTACCTGATCTCCGTGTAATACAAGAATATATTAAATACGGTTCTTTTTATTTTTGAATTTATTGACTGAAAGATGCGGGCATTGAAGTTTAATTCAACAATTATAATATCGTTTTAAGAATTATTGTTACTTTGTGCGAAATCATTGTCAAATGTCATATATTTGCCTTTTCATTTAAAGGTAATGGGAATTGTTGTTCTCAATGGTCGACCACACGTCGCGAAAATTACACCGATGAATGAATTTCTTGCCAATCGGCGGCATGTTCATCTCTGCAAAGAAAATGCCATCTTGTACGTTGCTAAGTGTAATGGTCATTGTGGTATATTTCCTTGCACATCATATAAACTTTGACATTTCCCCAATTTACACCGTTTCAAGTACTTTTTACACGTGGTCACTGGATAAAGTACGGGTTATTTGGAATCTACAATGTGTTTTAATATATGTCGAGTTAACTGATGGCAAGTTTAGCTGCTAGGTTGTTGGATCTTATAATTAGCTCTTAAATGAATTCTAAAAAGATAAAGATGTTTGCAGAATGTAACTATATATGTCACGTGTACAGAAATAACGTGATTTGGGAACTGGGTCTGCTGAAAATCGAGAATAAAAGTTCTCTGGAAAAGGATGCATCTTCGAGTTTGCATTACAATTTGCATTTCTTTGAAAGCAGAGAGGGTAAAAGAATTTCTACTACATAGTTTTCAACAGCAAGGACGGCCCACACTCCACATTCACACAAACAAAAATAAATCGGATGAGTACGATGCTGATCCCTTACAATGTCTATAGGCCTACCCAGATAAATTTTTTATGAAATCGACTGAAAGTAGCTCGTACAGTCTTTAGTGATTGGTAACGTACAATTATTTTCCTTTCACAAGTTTATGCAGCTGTGAACTATTTTTCGTTCTCCAAAGGATGTGGTGTCACTCCAGCGGTAATTAGTTTCCCACCTGCCTCAGTACCATCTCTAGTCAACATATAGCAGTGATATTCATTTTCACTAAAATCCCATATTTGGAATATGAGCGAAGCCTTCATGTGTCCTGCTTACGGTCGTTTTCAACCTTGAGGTCGAATGCAAGGTCGCCCCTGCCATAGGCATTCGCATTTTAAAAGTCACTAAACTACGAATTTTTAGTCATGCAGCACTACGTAACATGACTTCGATTACATTGCTTATGCACGGCCCTGTGGTAATCCTGACTGCGCCGTAATCCGTTTACAAAAGAAAACCTTCTAGAAAGAGACAAGTCCACAAAAGCCAATCAATAAAGCAGAATAGCGGAAGTTTCACAAATGAAACTCGCTAATGACAATCGCAATGACGCTAGCACTGCTGACAATATTTACACGGAACTGTGGTTTTCATGGCTGTTACTTAGTTATGTAATTAACTAAGTGCCTTGTTCGTTGTTTAGAGACTGAGAAATTGAAAGGCGTATTTCGTCAACAGTCAAATCCGTGGAAATTGAAGCTTAAGTTACCGGTTGTTGAGATACGCCCTTCAGTGTTGTCGGCAAGACTAGTTAATACGTCCCGCCTCTCGTGACTATATGCATTGTTGACAGGGCCCCCTGGGTAGCTTCGTTCATATGCATTGTATGCACAAGCAAGGAGGTTTGTGTCAGCACACAGACTTCAGCGTCATCATCACCATCCCACTAGTGCCAGTTTGAGTTTCCACTTCATCGCCCATCAGTACACTGATCGGGAAGCCACTTATATAAAGAGTTATCGAACTAAAACAGTGTCCCTGGGAGTTTCTGCACGACCGTTGTCTTGTCTCGCTTTTAGTGTACAGCGGTTGATTTCAACTGCGCTATGGATCACAACCAGACCATACCCATGACAAGTGATGTTGCTACCACCAGGCTAGCAGGTGTTAAGGGAGTTGCTGCCACCGAGCTAGCAGGTGTTAACGGAGTGTGGAATCCATATTTCAAAAACAGTACCGTCAACAACAATAGATATCACGCCAAAGTAAAACTACCGTGTATTGGCATTGCAGACACCGTCATGGCATCGTCTTCACGAGCGCTACCCACCAAAGAGCAGTCTAGTCTCTCAGCCGTTGGATTAAGTCCCCGACCGGGTCGTAGACTTCGACTTTCAGTTGAGCATGTAGACAGGAGATGCAGGTCGGTAAGTCCTCACTCGCCCAGACACTCACGGCCGATCACAAAGAATGGCCAAGATGTAGCCGGTACTCGTATGCATGAACTTCCCTGCACGTCGCCCCCTCGAGACACTTTCAAGAAGCACCACCATTTCCTTCAAGATAGTAAACCCTCAGTAAACAAACCAAACTTAAGAGAGAAGTCGCCATCTCCAAGGTTACCGAGCAGCAATGTAATAAGTTCACCTGTACTCGCCACGAAGAATTTGTCACCTCGATTAGCAAAGAAGCATCAACTGGATAATCAAACATTTATGAGCCAATCTCAACTGTCAACAAACCCAAAGGATCATTCAGCAAGGCAGTGCCGAACTCCAACTTTAAGTAGAATAAAACAGTCATCATCAGCCGATTCAGAGGAGGGGAAAGATTCTCCCCGAGAGCCTAGTCCTCTACCACCCATCAATAGTGTCAACATCTCTGAAAGAGATGATGTCCACGGCTACACAAGGACTGAGGACGATGATTCAGACGGAAACGTGAATCATGTCGACGTTAACGAAAAGAAACAGTTGACTGTTGAGCCCTACATCTCGTCTGTGGCAAAGAAGCACCGTCCACGTTCCCGTTCACCTAGTCGTGTCGTTGTAAAAAGTAGGTCACTGGACTCAGAGCCTGACAGATGTTTTGTCATTATCCCAAATAAGAGAACCTTTGCCGAACAACCACAGCAGAAGCTCCGACAGACAACACCAAACTGGCTGCTGGAGGACCAACCGTCTTTGGGGATTGTAAACCAGACCTTTGCAGACGGTGATTACAGTGATGGTGGAGAGATCTTCAACATTTTTTCAGACCGTTTACCGGACCGTATTCCACTACCGCACACTTCTGCCATTTTTCAGCAGGCTCTTAATGACATGACAAACTCCCCTCCTCGTCCGCCCAGTCGTGATAGTGATCCTGGAGACCTTCATGTTCGTCGGTCCTCATTGGTAACAGGTTTCCTCGATCTAGCCACCTTGAGAGAGTCGGTTGAGTCAATGGCTAAGGCCAAAAGTGACAGTCAACTTGACATTATACCCCAAGTCCCTGAGGAAGACACCAATAAAGAGATGCAACTGAAAACGTCCACTTTGACAAAAATCTCCGACTGGGCTAAACGATCCCGGAAAATATCGGCACCTGCCACGTCGCTTAGTGTGGGCCAACGGCCCATCACGAGGAGCGTTTCCCCGAAGCGTCATACCGTATCTGAGGTCCAACCTCCTCGAATGGAATTTCTGGAACCGAGGAAAGACAAACCCAAAAGCACCAAAATTTCAGACTCAATGAGTGATTCTGCTCTCACCTCGCCCAGTCTACAAAAAAATGAGGCCTTGAACTGTAGCAAGAGTGAAGTCATTGAAATCTCTCGTCCATTGCTCAGTAAACGGGCGATGGGCTATGTTATGAGATTCATCGAATCAGCGGCATCTCTTGCCGTTGCCAACCAAGCCGCCGCTCAATCATCTCGACTCCTGTCCAGGGAGCGCACAGTTTTCCCCATGATGTCCAACAGTTCAGGATATCGGTCCCGGGACAGAAGAGACTCTTTACGAATGGTCCAGCAAGTGATTAATGAAGGAATTCGGTCCGGAGATACGACTGAAATCACCAGCTTCGATGACCTCAAGAACTGCCGTTACTTACGTACATGTAACTTCCACACGAGAGACGAAATGCAACAAAATGTAGGTACATGTACCATGAAAAAGACGCCATGCCATGAATGGTAATGGAACCTTCAGTGCATTTTTACAGTCTTTGCAAAACTATTGGTCGAATTTCTATTTAAAAATTATTCCATACATGTACGTTCTTCTTTTCCATATTGTGCCATTGAGAAACAGAAACGGATGCGGTTAGCTTATCACTGAATCTTAACCTTTGCATTATTCAACTTCAAAACTGAAAAGTTAATTTTAAATCAATTCAAATGGAGTATTGTAACTGGTAAAATCAGTGCATTATTACACATTATATAGTTCCCGATTTCATTTAAATTGAATGAAAAGAATATATGAAGAATGTCGGGAAAGGGGTTGGCATAAAGGTTTTGATAAATTTGCGAAGAAGGGGCCAGCCGAGTAGCTAAAGAAAGTGCCTAGGCCTATACATGTAAGTTTGATAAGGTATGATTGAAATATAATACAATGTCCAAGAAAGACAAGGGGTTATCGTTGTATTTAAAAATAATATGAAGAATGGGTCAATTGGCCAAAAACTTAAGATGAAACCTGAGGAAATAATGTTCACAAAGGGTTGGCATTAGTGTTTGATAAAAGTGTGTAAATAAACGACAAGGCGGTTGACTTCAGTTTTTGTAATATGAAAAATATCAGGAGAGTTTATGACACTCCGAAAGAACTTTTAAAAGGGAAAGGGTAAACCCTCGAATTTCCAACAGAATTATGGACAAACTCCGAGGTCGAATTAATGTTGTATTTTGTAAATTATTTGTATTCCAAAATCCTTCATGATGATAACAGCTCTTCTTGTCCTGACAGCATTAGTCTCGTTTCTAGTTCATTACAAGATGAAGATTAAGAGCAGTTACAGGACATGAACACACAAGTTTTCAGCACTTCTTTTGGTCACCGCGACTCACTAAAAACGCTTCGAATAACTCTGTGGTACTTTAGTTTTGGCATCGATCGATTACGTAATCTGGTTTTTAGCTGTCTCGTGGGGGATATGTCATTGAAGGACCTAGATACGTATCAGTCTCAGACAATAAACAGTTCGCCTAACGTTTTAAATTATCAATGATTGAAAATGATACTTAAATATTTTAAAAACTATTTTATATGCTTATATGCTTGCAACAAGCATTTGCAGACGGTATCCTTAAAGACTCCAATGACAAGCTTGCTGAGGAGTGAGAACATAATAAAGTTTAAATTGAGGGTGGAAAAATTTCCATTTCAAATCTGTTGAAGTGTTGACTAGCTTACATGTATAAGAATGAGAAGGTTTCGATTATAGTCTGAACAGAAATAATAACCTTGCTAAAATACTTCTAGTATTGGAAAGAAATTTCCGCCCGGCGGGTAGAGAAAGGGGATGTATATGCATTATGTAAATTGTTTTGTACACCTTTTCGCCAAGCCGTCTTGTGCAGAACATTTCCTGGCTACACGAATGTGTCAGATATAACATACAAAATATAACAATAGTGACTGCTCATCTTTAAACCAGGTAAGGAATGTTTGGTTCTACTTTTTACTAACAAGCCAAGAGGAATAGGAATGTGCACATGTAAACAATGTGTAATCACGTGATATCGTTAGCAGATAAGCCTTGAATCAGCCTACAAATGCCGAGGATCGATTCCATTTACGAAAATACCTAAACTCGGCCTAGACTACACCCTGGCACACAATGCTTCAAGTCACACTTAACTTTTTTACTATGACCATGTAGTTAGCTCCATGCTGTGACCGACAAATTTGGCAAATAAAATA